TCTTCGACTTCCTTTTCCAAAAAGGCGATAAATATTGAAATAGCATTTCTCAGTTAAAATCCATTGAATTAAGAAAAAAACAAAACAATCAACAAAACGTCTCGAAAGTATCCATGATTTGGATCAATTGCTTATCTTAATCTCAGATCAATGGATATAAACCAAGAAAATTGAGCAAACTTACTAGAATTTTTGGCTCCATAAGGAACTTTAGGTTCTTCTGGTACCGCGTCACGACTAGCTGGAGATTCGAATTCTAAAAAAAAACAGGAAGGGTTATGGTAGAAAACTCAGTTAAATCAACTTACTATTTGTCGAAATAGTAGTCTGTGGTTCACTAGGGATGGAAGTTTGTGGTTCGTAAGGAGCGTGATTATCGTGTGGTTTGGGGGACTCTAAAAAACCATACTCACACATCATTTAACAAATAGAATAAAAAAAATGCTCTATATTTCATGTAGGACTAACCACTTGCACCAGCTTCATAGCCAGAATCGTTGGGTGAATAAAACGATGAGAGGCCACCACTTGAACTCACGCTGTCATGCGATGGAGACACAGTTCCTAGAGTAAACGAATCTGCGCTGAGAAGACCCAAAATGTGCATAGAAGAAAAACAAACAGAACACAGAGGCTATTGGTACCTGATGAAAGCACTGGAGAAGCTAATGGTTGGAATGAATCCATTTTCTTTGCATTATGGCTATGAATTTGAACTGGTTTCACTGCTGGGCTAGGGAGAACTTCATCTGTAAAATGAAAGCTGAGCCTTGAAACGGAAACATAGTGTGATTTTCTCACCTTTCTTTTCAAACATTCCTAGCCGATCAGATCGTAGTTTACTAGGTCCCGTCACAACAGTCCTATGAGGTTTTTCCAAGGAGTTAGCAGTTTTTATTACGGAACGGATTTCATCATGATGGCTAGCGTTACTTGGAGCTGAAGCAGCGGTGGCGGCTACAAACTTCTGGGGCTTTTGCGTATTATTGTTCCTAAGAAAATTAACTTGAGGGTAAGCGGAAACATCACCACAATTACCTACCATGTTCTGAGTGAGCTTGTGTGTTCTTCCTTCCGCGGCTGTTCCTCAGCTTTTCGGGATTCCCGAATCTCTCGTTCGGCTGATTTTACTCGTTTCTCTTCCACTCCATTTTCTTCCTTTTTGCTGCAATATAAATAGTTTTTGTGCCGCAGGAGGACCCGCATTATTCAAAATAGATATCGTTGAACATTTGTAACTTAATATGCACACTGCACATCACGCGCTGTACTTCACGACTTGTAAAATTATAGCCCTTTGAGATCCAAAGATTTGTCCTTGTTTCTCCTATT